TTGTACTCTGTCAAAACTAACCAGTACCAGCCAATTTCCGCTGTAAAAACAAGGATAACTAGGGATTGGAAAATCCTGCGCGTTTAAACATATAGCAGGGTACACAAGTAAAAATCATCGAACTAAAAAAAAAAAATAAAAGAGGTTCTGTTTACTACCCAATGCATTTAGGTTATTCCTTTGAAGATTTTAGACGTTAAAATAAATTTTCATAAATTTCATTAAGGAAATTTTTATTCACGCAGCTGTACGCACGCAGCTGCGATGCCCTTTTTATCCGGGTTTATCGAGGACGTAGTATGCATTTAGGCGCTAGGTGTTAGCAGTCGCGTAAATAGATAGTCTGCAGATTTCCACTTTATTAAACCAACTGCCATTTTGTTTGATAGTCTTTAGAAATTTTTTCGGGAAAACCATAATGTCACCTTTGTAGAGCTTCTGTTGCTCCTGTACGAACCAATTAATCAAATGTCTTGGTAACACTCAAGAAGTCTGCACGTATTGGCAGTTACAATTTCGAGCAATTTGTTTATCTAAGATCCATCATAAGAACCACCAATAATGCCAGTCTGGATATGAAGCGAATAATTACTTTGGTCAGTAGGTTCTACTTTGGTCTCGGAAGGCAATCAAAAAGTGGCGCCCTCTTGATTTTTCGAATACCAAATAAGCCGCATTTTTTGATCGAACAAACATATTTGAGTTTTTCGAAGTTTTTAAGGTTTTTACCAGTTTAAGGGAAACCCCTAAATAGTTTCTAAATTATATTGCAGGTTATTTGAGCATGAAAAGGATAATAACAGAACAACAAGATCATATATGATTTTAATAAATGAATGTTTGGCGCTGAAACATGTTCTACGTGTTTGGCCGAACTTCTCCTCCGATTCGTGCCCTGCTTTCTTAATGTTGTGACACAAATGGGGATATGTACTCTATTACTCCACCTTCGAAGAATCTTTTTTATATATTGGTCTTGCGGGGACCAGAAATTAATCATGGACCTCGCGAATACTGCCACTCCCTCCCCTGCACCTCTAAGCAGTCGGCCGCGGCGGTAAGAGCACTACTCAAAACTGAAAAAGTCAGCAAAAGATGCAAGAAAGCATTGAAAAACATTAAATAAGACCAAACGTGAATTGTTTACTGATTTTTTTTTTTGTTTTAGTTGTGAGCTAAAAAAATTACCTTACTCTTTTTCTAAATAAAAGCTATATTTACTGTTAATAGTTTTACCGTAATTTTTGGTCATGACTTCATACCAATCTAAGCTTTTATGAAACCAATGTAAAGTAAAACCGGTTTATCCGGTTTTTTCTTATTTTCAAATTTTGGAACCGGTTTTTTCAAATTGAAATTTTTCGATAACTCGTAACGGTTTTTGAAAGGAGAAAACCCTACTATATACTGCCCCGGGTGTAGTTCAATGGCATGCACCTCGTAGACAGAGTTTACTTGACCAATGCTAATGAAAAGGAACATTTTGAATTGTATAATATAGGCCGATGTTATATCTTGGAGACATCAGTATACAAAATGAAGCTTTCTTTCCGCGGTTTTTCTCGTTCGTTGTCCCACAATGAGCTATTGAGCAGTCCCTCCTGTTATTCTATAGCCCTGGGAGTGGAATGGTGTGGAACTCATTACAATGGAACTGAAAGCTGGCAGAGTAGTATTTGAAACGACTTACGTATTCAAAGCAATTCTTATGGGATGTGGATGTTATTTAGAAATATGTATCCATCTGACAGTGGTAACATTTTCAGACTCATCCAAACAACTGTTAAAGTTGAGTTATTATGTTTTGCTATGCAAACCTTCATATGTGCTAGTGCGAATTATTTTTTGTTTGTTTCGAGAAAAAAAATAACAAAAAACCAAACACTCATAACAATACTTGAAAGCAGTTTGCGACGTTGCTTGCGAAAGGATGTCAAGTGATTTTAACGCATTTTCTGCATTCATACATACATACACACATATGTATGTTTGTGTACATATTACTTCACAGCGACTATTGAAAATAAATCAAGTAAGTTGCGAAAAAATAAACATCTATTACAGCCACCGTAACAAAATAACTGGCAGCTGCAGCATTGGCTATGGCTAATCGTCTTCTGTGTGTACACATGTACATATTTACATACATACAATATGTTTGATTTGTCCGAGACTAAATACCAATAGACATGGCGCAATAATAAATGCAGCTGCAAATTTAATAGCTTAAAAGAGAAGTCTAAAAATTGTTTACTAATTGTTTTCTGCGTTTATTATTTTTGTTTTCTGCATGGCACTTAAGCCGTGATTGGTGAAACAAAAGAATCGCGTAAGCACGCAACGATGTGCTAAATAGTGATTGAACAAAAAATCTTACGCAATTACAGCTTATAAGATTGCATTGAAAAATGGATTTGTTTTACGGTTATCATTAAATATACGCAAGGCCGTATTTAGGAGGGGGGCGTGTTGTAGGTGTTCTGAACCTCTTTTTGCCAAGTTTTAGCGTATTATTTTTGTTGTTATTTAATTTTGGTTATTTTTTTATAGAAATATAGTTCATTCCTTAACAAAACCCGAGTAAATCCAACTTTCCAACTTTGTGCAATACTAAAAAAATTCAACAAACTTTCGTAAAAATTTCCAGCTTTTTAAAAATTCTAAAAAATCAACTGTAATTTTTAGCCATTTGAAACTTGTACTTCATTCTACAAAAGTGAAATGGGCTACAAAACTGCATACTCAGAATATAATTAAAAACTAGAAATTTTTACGAAAATTTGTTAATATATTTTTTTAATTGCATACATTTTTAAGGCAGTGTCACTCGATTGGTACATTTGTACAGACTTGTGCATTTTTATATTGGGTTATTGGTACATAATAAAAAAATTGGGACCATTTTTTTGTAGTCAAAAGATACGTACAATACAGCAATCTTCTATTGAAATTTTAACAAATTATTTTTCGTGATTGGGATAAAGAAAAATATTTGGTTAATCACACAATTGGTATACGATTTGCACCAAATTTCGGCAAATACCCAATCGTGTGACACTGCCTTTAAACTTGTATTTATACGGATGTTGTTAAAGAATGTACTATAAAAAACTAACCAAAATTAAATACAACAAAACAACAAAAATTATATTTTAAAACTTGTCAAAATTTGGTGCGGCTATAATTTTTTCGACTGCTGTACATAAGTTACTCGGCCGTGCTATCATAGTAGCACAATGCCACTAATATCTGACTTACAAACAAAATACGGGCAGGAATTTTTTCAAAATTTCAACCCTGTTTGTGGGAAATATTTTATTTTTATAAGTATTTTTCTTTTAATCAATCTATGTTGAAACAAAAGTGAAAATAAAAAAATATTTTTTCAGAATTTTGGCAAATTCCAAATTGATTTTAGGCCCATGGTTTGTTCGGCAAGATTTCTTAGCATAACATGTTGAACACTTCTTTGCTATACGCTCATAGTCCAAAAAATTTCCCATAAAAATTGACCCGCCCTAGTATATATGCATATTTTTGAGTTTTAGAAGAGACGCAAAAACGTTATAAATAAAGAAAGAAGCTAATAAATAGCCTTTGGCCTCTTCAAGCCGTAACTGCTTGGTTACCGATGTTCGATAACATAATGAAAATAAAGACATTTTCAATTACAACATTTTTTTACTCGTCGCAAAATTTTCGGAACAGTCCCCATAAAGAGTTGGAACTTTTATATACACATTTTTTTCGATCTTCTACAGTCAATGTAAGCTCAGTTAAAGAAAATATAAAATTTTATTGGGGGAAAATTACAAATCTAAAATTTATTATTTCACTTAAAAAATTCCACGCCCCTCCCTTCTAAAATTCCAAGTATTTCAGAAGTTACAGCACTTAGAAGTGGGAGTGGAAGTTTTTTTTCTTTGGCGTTTTTTCTCGAAACGACTTTTTTCAAACTCTAATGTCTGCGTCAAAAAAATAATTTATTTGGTAACCTATTTTTGCGACCGTCAGGTTATCGCAACGCCTTAAAACAATTAGATACGTATTTCTAAATTACACTGAATTGTAGAGCTATATTACTAATTTTTGTGTCGTTTGACAATGTAGTTACATAACATACCCTACATATGTACTTACTATGTATGGATGTACAAACATACATACATTTGAACGTAAGTTCAGTTGGTGTAAGTTAAACAAGTCCACAACGGCCACAAAAAAAAAAAATACCTACTAACAAGCGCTCCCTTGCAGATAGTAATTGCAGCAGCGCTCCCAGCAGTGACAACACGTTTTGGCCTTGCATGTGCGGTGAAGGAGGATGCACCACACCATAATGTAGCATCCACTTCGTGACTTATTCACCTTTAATTTTTTGCTTTTGCCTTCATTCAAACGGCAACTTCAGTTGATTCAGCATTTTTTCGTGGATGCTACTTTACTCGTAATACTGTTGCATGCAATGAAAAGAAAATGCTTGCAGCATATTGTATGCACAAATGAAAAATAATCATTGGAAACATCTCTAGACTACAAATAATAATAATAGAAAAAAATTTGTTAAAAAAATAAAAAAAAATTATCTTTGGCCCTTTGACAGCAAGCGTTCAACATGAAAATGTCAAATGCATCTCAGCGCATCAAAATTGAAGAGCTGCATAAATTTTATTATGATTTATTAGGTACTGCAACGCGCTGCAAACTTTTGATGAGCAATTCATTGCATGGTAAAGTACTACGTGCTTCCTAAACAGCTATTTTAGTTTTATAGAGCTTTAATATGAAGTTATATCACTGCTGAAATACAGAAATTCCCTAACTGAAACAAAAAGCTATACCCCATACAAATATACAGTTCTGTGCGTAGGGTTTCTTGAAAAGAAATCGTCGGTTTTTAAGTTACGAATCCAAAGTTTTTAAGTAAGGCGTGCTTTAGTATGGCTATGGTACTTAAAAAAGCAATGAACTGTATTATACATACATATGTATATACTTACACCAATGTGTTGGCCTTCCACGAAGAGTTGAGGTACTTTTATCGCTTCTGAGTGCATGCGCTCTTTTATCTCCTGCTGATATTCGATGCTCATGAAGACATCTCGTTCCTCGAATTTCACAAGCAGCGTACGCAATATCTGTTTCATATTCGCACATTTGGCATAAGTGTCACGTATGATGCCCATACTTGTTGTATAGAGTACCACTTTTCCCGCATCCTTCTCCTTAAAATTCTGGAGGAAAAGAAAAATGAACGTATAAAGTTAGTATATAAAGAATATGGAAAGAACTTCATCGTATGTATTTACATAAAAGGCAATTTAAAAAATAAAAAATATTTACTAAATGCTAAAACTTTGAAGAAATAATTCTTATGGAAATACGAGATCTTTTGACATTACGACATTTAATAAGTCGAAAGGTTATGTACTCTTTTGCCAGACCTGCGGAATAAAGTCATGCTCCTCCACGTTAAGCCTTACTTTGTGCTTTTTACTATCCGACCGTTTTCGCATGAACGATACAAAACAACATTTTATTGAAAATACATCCACAACTATTAAGGAAGCAGCAATTCAAATGGTTGCATACTACCTGTCGACCTTCAGAACCTATTGGACATAGTTAATCTAAGATAGAAAACAATCATCTCGCCGATCCAAGAACTTGGGCTTGGCAATATTCTGATGGCGTTTGCGAGGAAGCTCTTCAAAGATCGGACTATAAATGCAGAGCTGAGTGAAACCTCTGTCGCAAATGTTATCACCTTTTCTAGAGACTGAAATTCACAGCTTGCTGAAAGAAATAGATATATAGCCGTTGCGGTTTGCGAATAAATTATACAAAATCTGAACTTGTAAAATGGTGTAACGAGCACTTAATGAGCCAAAAATCAGGCTTAATTCCGATCGATGCGACTTTGCAGCCGCTTAAAACTTGCACTTTATCATACTAAAATTTAATGGGCTACCCAACTCAAAAAAATTTTGGGAAACCAGATTAAAAAGTTTAAATTTTAATGAAAAGTTTTTAAGCTCTGTATAAAGTGTGATTTTTATGGTTTTGGTTAAACCATGAACCATATTTTTATGAAAAAATTTTAACTTTTAAAGCCTGGCAAATATGTAACAAAAATTACCGTGTACTCATTTCTGCTCCCCACTGTACATTTTCACAGACAACCGAGCGGCTACGATGCAAACAACTCCGATGAACTTATGTGTTATTACACGACAAGAAAACCACTTGGTAATCAACAAAAAAAAAAAAACAGAAATGGATAAACTCCTAACAGCGATTTTTATTTGGGTCAGCCAGATATTCAAAGATATAGCTACCAAGACCTTTTGCTATCGGTTCAGGTAATGGCAGATTAAGTGTTCGATGGCTTCTTCTTCTGTATTCTGAGCCGTTTATTTTGAAAGTGGCATAAGTCACTTCATACCTCTTGTACTTAAATGACCGGTTACTTGTAAGCAAATGCATGTGTAAATCTTTCTTTTGACCTAAACTAATGAACTAACCTTTTACCTTTGGTTGATGGAGATGAACAAATAATCAACGTGACGTGACTTATTCCACTTTTAAAATGAACGGCTCATATGTAGGTTGCGGCTTTTTTAGCTGCGTGAAAGCCAATCAGATAATGTCCGGTAAGAACTTCACCCATTATGCGGATGTCTTGCCTTCTTAGGTTAAATAGAAACTTTTTGTTTTGGGCCTTTATGACTGCCCAAAGTGTTTTGCAAATATGACAAATTAATATAAATTTTTCATTTAGTAGTCATGGTAGTGTAGAAAAATTTTTAATCCCACATGAAAACCACTCACAATATTGATGCAGATTATTAAAAGTCGATGTTTCAGCAATCATCTCAGATCAAAATTAATTTATCGTATCTTGATAACTTTTTGAGAAAACTGTGATTTTATATAATTCACTTATAACATATATGTATATTAGAGTGACCAGAAAAAATTTAAAGTGCTTCTTTTTTGACCGTTTTGACTTTTTAGCTTCCATTATGGCAAAGAACTATACTCTGAAAATTTGGTACAAAAATATTAACATTTAGAGGCTTCGCGTGGACGTTTTGAGCCTCCGCCTCGAGTGGTTAAAATTACTCTTCCTTCAATCCGTGCGTACACGAAATTTAAGTTTCTTAAGGTCTTACAATATGTTTTCAAGGTCGCTGAATACGTTGGGCGAGACCATTTTTCGATCTGACCCTTACATTTTGAGATATTACGAAAAAGTCTTTAAAAAAAACGAGAAAAAAAGCGAAAATCGTGCTTTAAAAGCTGATTAATTCTTAGACAAAATTTTTGAAACTTTTTATCATAGTTAATTTTATAGCCACATCCCTGGCCTCCATGACTCGCCGCAGATAATACTGCGTTCGTTATTTGTCGAGATATCGGCAAATTACTGTCCCTAGATGTCACTGAAAGCTAATAATAATTAGAAAAAGAGGCTTTAAAGTGTTTAGCCAGTGTTCATCCTACAAAAAAAAATCATGATCATGAATTTAGTTTTCCTAGCATAATTAAATATTTATGCAAACAAATTTGGGCAATTTCATTGATTTTTATTTTTTTAACTTAATTAAAAAATTTTTCTACGCCAATAAGGCTTGCAAAAAATGTGCATGCAGCCAAGGCCAATCATACGAACCGAATCAACGCACCTGCATCTAAAAATACAGAAACTACCAACTAAGCAAATTCAGTTTTTCACGTTTCCATTACTAATGGACTTTGTGTTTTCGGATGTGCTTGCAAGCTGCGCTTTTGCACAGCTTCATTTACAAATATTTTTAATTAAATTTTCAAATACTCTGCTCAGTGGTATGCGTTCGCCTTATTGCAACAAGTATGCGCCACAATGACATGCTGCTTTTGATATTTGCTGCAAGCGGTGCCAACGATGGCTGTTCCTAGTGCGTGCTCTCAGTAAATTGGCTGCTAACATGTTTTGTCTATGTTTTTTGTTTTGTTTTGTTTTTATCTGTCTATCAATTTATTTTAACCTGTGTGCACTTCCATTGCCTTTTTATGGTTTGCTATTTCCATGTGTGACAGTTGTTGCTGCGCTGAAGCCAGCAAAAATTTTTTAGTAGTTAGTGGCAGAGTTGCACGATCTGGCTGGAAACGCATCTGTGTGCATAGCTTGCAGCAATCTGAGCTACTTATAATCGTACACCTTTTCGAACGTGTCTGATCCCAGTGGGAAAAGTAGTACATAATGCGTTACGTGCGTGATAAATAATGTAATGATTTTCTTAGGAGTTTTAGATTCAATTACTTATTAATATTTAATCAGCATTCAAATGTATCCAAAAAGCCCCAAAAAATTCACATTTAATCGCATTAGCAGGTAATGCAAAATTGAATATCCTACTTTTCTTAGGACATCGGCGCGCGTGGGGAAAAATGCATTTTCGAATGTGAACTGATTATTTTTTCGAATACCATACATTGCATTGCATTTTCCCACTGGGATGCTATATTCACACACAGGCAGGCATGCGCATACATACACATATACCCAGTTTCTAGTTGATCCTGTTTGTATTTACTTTTATTTTATTGCCATCTGCCGAATGCCTTTGCAGCGAAGAGTTCCCATACCGGTTGCTAATCAAGATCATGGCTGCCATGAATTTACTGGTTACAAACACATGTACTCCTGCTAACTGACTGCTAATGTTATTTTCATTTATTTGTGATGTAAAATATGATTTTGGTTTTCATGAAAAACTTACTCAAGGTTTTATTTTTAATGCAGCGAGCTCACTTCACTTTGTTGTTGGCGATCATAAATCAAAGTTTTTGTGCTAGTTTCTTTCATATGCGGTTTGATTTCATTTTGAGTTTTCATAGAGAAAATGCCGCATACAAATATTTTTGCAATTTTGTTTATCCAGTCGCAAGGAATGCCATTTATGTAGCTATTGTGGGTCAAGTGTGCAAATTATTTTTTTGTGGTTCTTTAACATTTTTTTTGGCAGGCAAAAATGCATACCAAAAAAGCTGGATCAAGATGTGATTGACAAAAAACGAAGGTGTGAAAGTATAGATGCAAGATTAAAATTAAGTTGGACTTGCATTTGTATGAACACCTTACTAAAAGGAAAGAAAAAATCATCCATACATACAAAAAACCATAGCGAAAAAGAAGTTAACTCACCCTTAGGCGATTTAATTGATACTGCGTACAGCTATAAAAGTACTTTTGAGTAGTCAGGATCATTATTTTTAAGAAGTGGGTACCAATCAACACAGCTTGAGGTGAGAGCACTTATGCAGCTTCTATGGAAACAATTGGTGCAAGAGTCTCTTGCAAAACAGGTCCATGCAACATTGCTTAAAATGTTTTCAACACTCTGAAATTCTCAAAGTCTTGATAACAATTTTTTCTTAACTTTTAGCCTCAAACAATTTAACAATAAGTAAAATGAGATATTAAATATGCGGAAATTCCATAATAATCTTATTTATTTTTAAGGGGTTGTTGTTGGTATTAACTTTGAGTAAATTATCATCGTTATATCTCGAATTATCGAAGTTTCCACATTTCTGACCGTTAACCGTTATATAAAAAGTGGGCTTAATTTTATTCCGTTTTCAAAAATTTACTACATACATACTGCGTTTTTGTGCCCAGTACAATAATTATACCAAGTTTGGTACAAATTGTTAGAAAGGCTATCATATTTGTGGTCATAAGTGGGCAGCGTCACGCCCATTTTCGAACAATGTGTTGTAATCGTATTTTTGGCTAAAGAATTAATTTTGAGTAAATTTGCTTTAGAAGTTACTGATTTATCGCAGATTTCTTATTTTTCTAAATTACCGTTATATTATAACTGTGCCACGTTTGGTAGAAATTGTGAGAACGATTGCCAAGATATATGTATACTCATTCCATGCAAGATTTACACCTCAATATTTTTTTTGTCTAAGGGAGATACCTATTTTTTTATTTCATCATGATATTCGAGGCATGCGCTGCCAGTGCTACTTTATGTACGCAGGCATACATACGCATACATGCAATCATAAGTGGTTGGGTCTACGCCCATTTTCCAAATATTTATAATAATATATTTATGTCGCTAGTCGTTTCTCTTCTGTGACGCCAATTCAAAATGTCAAGTAAAACTAAGTACTTTTCCACCTGGGGCCTATTTCATAAAGCGAAAGTGATAATTTTGTAACGATAGGCAT